AAAAACAGCAAGAAAAAACTCAGTAACTTTGTGTATATTCTCAAAAACATCAGCTGCTATAAACTGAAACAACAGTGCCAATGCCATCTTTACCCGAGGACTATCTTCCAATTGCAATCAGAAAGGGCACAAGAAGTTGCACTCAACATCCCATTTCTCGGTTTGTATCCTATGGGAACTTGTTTAAATCCTACAATGCCTTTATTTTTAATATTGACTCTGTAGAAACTCCAAAGAACATAGAAGAGGCTCTTAAATCAACCAAATGGAAGCAAGTTGTATTGGAAGAAATAAAGGCTCTTGAAGACAATGGAACGTGGGAAATATCTAAACTACCTACTGGAAAGAAGACCGTGGGTTTTAAGTGGATTTTCACTACGAAAGTTAAACCAGATGGGAGCATTGATCGATACAAGGCTAGACTTGTGGCCAGGGGTTTCACTCAAACATATGGGTTGGACTATGAGGAAACATTTGCACCAGTGGCCAAACTAAATACTATTCGAGTGTTGTTCTCAATTGCATATGTCCCGAATGACCTATGTAACCCTCGACTCTTAGCATACCAACTATACCTATAGCTCTCATATCACACAACATGGGCATTATTGTTATACTTTATATACTCATGTACTCATGTAATTTCTCTTTTAATCACATATGTCTTTTCTACTATCACATATCACATGTACATATAACCATAATTCTCATAGCATATAATATATATCATTTAAGTATGTTCTCATGAATCATATAATATATATTAAATCATATCAACATATATATTATTTATGCATGTGATTATAGTGATCATAACATATGCATGTTCATAACTATTGGAATATGAAAATTAACATAGGAAATATAATTATCACAGGTCTTATTTCCACTGAACTCTATCTATAATATGCACTCACCTTAGCCTCACTTGATCCCTATTACTTTAATGACTTAACTTAACTTCCCTTTCTCAATCGATCCTAACTTTTCGGTCGTTCTGGAACTTGCTGGTACTCAATATCTACACAATCATACATATTATATTCATATCAGCAATCCAAATCTCATGATTCGATCCTTAATTTCTTAGACCAAAAGAAAGGCTAAATTTCATTTTTTACTTGTAGTAGTATCGATACCCCTATAGGGTATCGATACTTCTATAGTTGTGGTATCGATAACAAACTTGGGTATCGATACCCATTTTGCATTCTGTAATCCTCGTTTCAAAAATGGTACTGATATTATCCTTATGGTATCGATACTCTTGGTATCGATACTACCCTCTAGGTATCGATACCCCATGAGTGCCTTTGACAAATTCAGACTTATGGTATCGATACTGTTCAACAAGTATCGATACCCCTATACCAATTATCATCTTTTACTTTTGAAGTATCGGTACTTGATGAAGCAGTACCGATACTCAAAGCCCATATTTCACTTTTAAACCTAAAAATTTACCCTTATCAGCTCAATTCCTTCATTTCTTATTCCCTCTCATACTCTTAACTCAAGTACACATACTCAAACCAATTTCTATTCATCTAATACATCTTTATCTTCAAAATCTCATCCTATATATTGAAATCAAGAATCCTACAAAATTTTCAACATGTTATAATTTCAATTCTAACACCTCATACTTCTTAATTCAACTGATGACAAGTCAAATTTAGTTTCAAATTCTATTTATCAACTCTTTTCCAAGATTTCATTTATAAACTCCTTATCTTTAGTCCCTCATATCTCCCTCATCTTTTGATTTAGAACAACTTAAGCTATCCTTAAGCTTAAGTATGGCCCAATGAACATAAACCTAACTTAATTTCAATAAATAATCAACTCACAGTAAAACTCACCTTTGCTATTTGTCTCACGGCTGAAGAAGAAGAAGAGTAAAGAATAGCTCTATGGATATTTCCTTTCCTTTTTCTTCTCATTTCCACGTGTATATATCTCTTCCATATCTATTTTTTTATTCAATAATTGATCAAATGACCATTTTCCCTTCCATTCATTCTTCTTTCCTATATAGTCCTACACAAAATTTTCATATAAGTCCTTGAACTTTTCAATTATCTATTTAGTCACTAAATTTTGATGTTTATAATTTGATCATTAACCCTGTATTAAGGATGTTACATATATATGGAGGACCAATTTGCAATTAACAAATATTTAAGTTGAGTACGATGTCCTTTTCCTATTGATGTGTATATGCAATTTAGCCTCTGAACTTTAATTTAATTCTATTTAGTCCTTTTCATATTTTTATTGTTTTTAATAAAAGGTACCCTAATTTATTTGTTATTTTGCAAAATTTTATTTACCTTTCTTATTTAATTTTTCATTTATTTAAAATTTTTCATTTATTTTTTAAAACCTTAATTTTATTTTTTGTAAAAGGGAATCCAATCCAAATTAAAGCTCGTCAAAGGTAAATAATCTTGAATCAAATCTAAATTTCATTCTTCACAATTAAGACAAATCGATTAGTACTAAAAGAGTGATTCAGGGGTGCTCATCCTTCCCTAATCGTAAATGACTCCCGAATTCGACACATCTCTGGTAAGATATAGATTTGGTAAATGGTAAGTAGGTGTTTGATCTACCTAATTTAAAAATGATCGGTGGTAACTCCATTACGATTCCAAGTCGAGGCGTGATCTCGGTACTACCTGAAGAACTGTTGCGACAAGGTCGAATTAGAATTCATAAGTTTCAAGTTAAATTGTCATCCCTAACAATAACCATTCTATGGTTATACACATACACACATTTTCACATACTTTTAGGATTTTTGGATGAGAAAAATTTAAAGGCAAATAAATATTAACTCCTTGTTTTTTAGTGAATATCTTCTCATATTCTATTGTTAATATCAAAATTTAATTTTCCTTCACCCAACGATGCTAATAAGGTGTAAAACTTTTTTAATTTTACATTATACAATTGAATTCTAATCCATATATATATATATATATATATATATATATATATATATGCTCTCATAGGGTTTGCTCTACTTTGTATTCAATTAGCTGGGAATGGATATATGTTCTGTGGGCGATAGAAAGGAGATGAAGTCAAAAAATAAATTCATCGTGGGTGGTGAAATAAGTGTTAATATGGCTTCGTATCCATCGTGCCCTTTTCTTGTCTGTTCACATCATCTCACTCGTTCATTATATAAAATAAATATATTTTTAAAAAATAATCATGATAATACTTGTGTTGTACGTATTTATTAACTTTTGAAAATTTTGCACTTGTCTTATACTTGGTGACCTTTACGATGTATTTGAGACATTGTTTATTTATATATAAATTTTATTTTTTTTGAATTTTTTGAACTCTTATTGAAGTTATATTTTAATTTATTAATTAACGGTTCATGATGACTTATTTAAAAAGTTTATTACTATTTTGAATTATTATTATTTAAAAAGTTGTCAATGATGAGACTCCAAAGGATAAAAATTCTATAGGTTTTTCTTAAAAATATTTTTTATTTAACTAATATTTATAAGTTTATTATATAAAGTGAATCATGGACGAACACAGTGAAACTTTGGTGGGTTTCGAGACCCACATAGATAATAGGATAAAAATAATTTTAATTTTGTGAGTCATAAAACGAAATTAATTTTAAAATTTATACTCATAACGAATCCGAGATGGAAATAAGAATGAAAATTCTTCACATATGAATGTTGAATTGACATTATAGGTGTGTTCATCAAGATATGATTTTGTTTAAGTTATATATAATAACTAATTGTTTTACTCGGAATATTATTAAATGTATTAACCAAAATATATTAAATTTGTTGGACACAGTACTTATGCACTAAATATAATGAAATGCTGAAATCAGATTTGGTAAGCAACGGAATTAAATAAGGGAAATTCTTGTAATTATTGCAAACCAAATCCAATTCCGAATCTTATGAGATAATACTAATGAAATAGAAAAGGACGTAGCCTCTGTTTATTTTGCTGACATTTACTTGAATAAGCACCGGCGACTCTACTCCCTAATAAATTTAAGGTAAAACACGCAAGTAACATTTTTTTATTATAAAATAATATTTTATTTTGCATCTCTCAACCATAATGATTCACGTTCGGAGTAATAATTCCAACAACAGACAAGACAACTTGACCACTGAAATTGTATGACCCGAAAAATAGGATAAGAATATCATAACGTTATTTGCTATTCTTTATAAATATTTTAAACAATATATAAAATAATATTTGTTGTATTCTCCATAAAGATCCTCCGTATATTATTTGTGTGCATAATATCTTTTAGAGAATCTAACTGTATTTAAATTTCTGGCACCTAGTGAACTTTAAGAGAGAAAATTTCTTAAAAAGATTTTGAATACATAATATCTTTGGAGAAGTTGCGAGTCTACGACTTATTGATATGATTTTTTTATATATTATATCATCTATTAAAATTAAATATATTATTTTCTAATCGTATTCATTTATCATGTTAATCTACAAGTAGTAATCACACATTTACGTCTAGCTCAAATTCCTAGAGTCACTATTAAATCTATTGATCAAAAATGAGAAAAAAGATGCGACCTAATGAAACCATCTCTTCCTCACTTTTTTCTCTTCTAAATCTTCATGAAGACATAGAACATCAACATTGCCCAATGATCTATACTTTATGACTACGATTCTTCGCCCAACTTAAAAGAATTAGTCTCAGTCCATTTAGTCTTAGCAACAATAATTTTGGGAATACTACAAATCAAATTGGAGTAGGTTATCTCCTGCTTAGATCTTATCTAACTTGATAAAATTTTAAAATCAATTCAAATTGATTCTGTCTCGAGACTAGATTTCCTCTACAAAAATAAAAAGATACTAATTAACCACTAAATAACTTAACGTACGTATAAGGGAAAAAAAGTTGAAAAACCTAATCAAATAAAAAATTAGATATAAAAAAACATTATTATTGACGGTGAAAGATAAAAAACATGATACAAACACAGAAATAACGATAAGGATATGATGATAACTTGTTTTATCACGATTCAAATATCGAACATTAAAAACTAGTTGCCCAATTCCAATCCAGAACCCAGTAACTTCTCAGATATGATTGCATTCAAACGCTGTATCATCTCCTCTGTTAAATAATTATTCCCATCACCAACTTCTCCCTTCCTGAAGAAATCTCGATTATCAACCCTAATATCTCTGCTATACTTCAGCACACTTGTTTTATTCACTTCCAAATTGCTCAAATTCTCAAAGCTACACAGTTTCAATATTCCTTCAACCACTCCTCCACTCTCTTCCTCCAATGAAAAAGGGTGGCCTATGAATTCACCTAACCTCTTAACAACAACAAAGGGATCCTTCTTCAAATCTTCGTACTTCAAGAAGAGTATCTTTTCTGGGTTTTCTAAACTTGCTTTCCAATACCCTAAAACATGGTTCCAATAGGGTCCGTAATGGGATACCCCTTGACAAAACAACTCAAACGCTTCCTCAAGCGACAAGGGTGGCAATTGTCTAGGCCTTAGCTTGTTCAGGAATAGCCATTTGGAAACAAGCACGTCTTTGGGGTCCCTGCAGATGTAAACCAACCTGCAACTTTGATCATCGGTCATGGAATTCGGTAACAAGCCTAAAGGGAGATGGGTTGAGAGGAGACGTGGTGAAGGCAACACATCAAGTTCGTGTAAAGACCGATTGTTTCCGTCTACGTAAGTATCCAAGAAAGGGAAGCAATCGTGAGGGCCAGCGGTGAGCAAAGGGTGGTCGGAGATACCGTAGCGGGTGCGGTTGACGATGGCGAAAATGAGTGCCTTGAGCCAAGTGGTGCCGGTTTTCGGGGACGAGGCTAGGAAAATATCGGTGGCTCGAGGATTGAAGTGGTCTTGGATCCACATTAAACCTTTCAAGGCTGTTCTAGGGGTTAGCCAAAAGCCTTGGTAATGAACCAGATGTTCGGTCGCCCAGCCTTTGCCTATAGGTAACTTGGCGAGTGTTTCTTCATATCTTTCATTGGAATTTGAATGTTGCTGGTCACACAGTGGAGAGGTTAGAGAAGCAGCCATGGAGGAACAAGTAAAGGGTGAAAAAAAAGGTGCAAATGTTTTGATAGCAAATGGATCTATAAATAGCCATATAGATTGTAGAGAAAGGATAAATTAATCCATGTGATTTTAGAGAGCGAAATTATTTTCTTATAAATAACAATTGTGTTTTTGCTCAGCAATATAATTTTATTATAGAGAGTTTAATCATACACCTAAGCTTATTTATGTGTCTCCTTAAAACCTCTCGGAAAAAAGAATACACACAACTAAGCAAAAACAAGACTAAAACAAACGAAACAAAACACTGATTATTTCTCGCTAATGATTACAATCATACGCTCAAACCAACAATAAGGAAACTTCTACACCCAACAAACACCAAGACACAAAACCTAATCACCAAACACCATCCCCGCATAACAAGATAGCATTTAACCATTGCAAGAGTAGAAGAACTCTCCAACAGGAAAATATCTTTAATGAGATTCAAAGAGTGGACCACGTCTGAATAACAATCTCTTCAGCAAACACAATAGCAGGAAAACAACTCCCATTTAAAAAGATCATCAAGCTGAAATAAATCCACCCGCACACTCTATGATACAAGGTCATCTTCAGCAGAAAAGGAGGCTGAAATTGAAGTTTAATTGAATTTCCTACAAACTCTGTCCTAGCAGAATACATCACTGAGGGCAGCTACATCTGAACTAACTCCAAGAACAAACCCAGAACACTTCATTAATACATTGCCCATGAAACTAAACCTTCAATGCAACGCTTTGAACATCCGAAAGATTTGACACCAATGAAGAAACCAAGATCAATAACCATGGATTAATCATTATGAAACATTCCTATTGAAAGATTGAACCACATAATAGATTGACCCGCAGCAAATAAAATTAACAATCGACTATAACCGAAATAAATAAGATCACTCAAACGGATGAGAAGAGATCCTTCCAACTAAATGATCGGAAACAAAAGCGAACTCCAAAACACTAATAATATAATCCCCAATCTTAAAAAAGACACCAAACAAAGGCAATTTTTCTACAACAACACAAATACCTCATCACCCAACAATACAAAAAATTACTCAATATTAACTCTAAACCACTTCCAATTTTCCCCAAAACTATGGTAAAGAAAATAGAACTAGACTTTATATTTTAATTTATTAATTAAAGGTTCATGATGACTTATTGTCATCTGAAATAATGTCATATATGTGGCGAGACTCCGAAGGATAAAAATTTTATAGGTTTTTCTTAAAAAATAATTTTTATTTAACTAATATTTATAAGTTTATTATATAAAGTGAATCATGGATGAACACAGTGAAACTTTGGTGGGTTTTGAAACCCACATAGATAATAGGATAAAAATAATTTTAATTTTGTGAGTCATAAAACAAAATTAATTTTAAAATTTATACTCATAACGAATCCGAGATGGAAATAAGATTGAAAATTCTTCACAGATGAATGTTGAATTGACGTTATGGGTGTGTTCATCAAGATATGATTTTGTTTAAGTTATATATAATAACTAACTGTTTTACTCGGATCGTGCACATATTATTAAACGTATAAATCAAAACATATTAAATTTGTTGGATACAGTACTTTTGCACTAAATATAATGGAATGTTGAAATCAGATTTGGTAAGCAACGGAATTAAATAAGCGAAATTATTGTAATTATTGCAAACCAAATCCAATTACCGAATCTTATGAGATAATACTAATGAAATAGAAAAGTACGTAGCCTCTGTTTATTTTGCTGACATTACTCTCTGCGCCCTAATAAATTTAAGGTAAAACACGCAAGTAACATTTTTTTATTATAAAATAATATTTTATTTTGCATCTCTCAGCCATAATGATTCACGTTCGGAGTAATAATTCCAACAACAGACAAGACAACTTCACCACTGAAATTGTATGACCCGAAAAATAGGATAAGAATATCATAACATTATTTGCTATTCTTTATAAATATTTTAAACAATATATAAAATAATATTTGTTGTATTCTCGATAATGATCCAACGTAAATTATTTTTATGCGTAATATCTTTTGGAGTATTTAAATTTCTGGCACCTAGTGAACTTCAAAAGATATAGAGAAAATGCTTATATTTGGAGAAGTTGCGAGCCTGATACTTATTGATATGATTTCTTATATACTATGTGATTTATTAAAACTAAATATATTGTTATCTGATCGTATTCATTTATCATGTCAACCTACAAGTAATAATCATATATTTATATCTAGCTCCAATTTCAAGAGTCACTATTAAATCTCTCGATTAAGAGAGAAAAAAAAGATGCGACCTAGATGAAACCATCTCTTTCCCACTTATTTCTCTTCTACATCCTCATGAAGACAGAGAATATCGACATTGACCAATGACCAATTCTTTATTAATTATAAGTCTTCGCCCAACTTAAAAGAATCGTCTCAGTCCATCTAGTCTCGGCAACAATATTTTTTTGGGAATACTTCAATTCAAATTGGAGTAGATTATCTCTTACTTCGATCTTATCTAACTTGAGAAATTTTTAAAATCAATTCAAATTTGTTCTGTTCGGAAACTCAATTTCCTATGCAACCATAAAAAGATACTAATTAACCACTAAATAACAAAACATGAACGTACATATTAGAAAAAGTTAAAATTTAATTAAATAAAAAATTAGAGAGAGAAAAAAATTATTATTGACCATGAAAGATAAAAGCAATCTCTATAAACACAGAAATAACGATAACGATATGCTGATTACTTGTTTTATCACGATTCAAATCCCGAACATTAAAAACTAGTTGCCCAATACCAATCCAGAACCCAGTAACTTCTCAGATATGATTGCATTCAAACGCTGTATCATCATCTCTGTTAAATAATTCTTCCCATCACCAACTTCTCCCTTCCTGAAGAAATCTCGATTATCAACCCTAATATCTCTGCTATACTTCAGCACACTTGTTTTATTCACTTCCAAATTGCTCAAATTCTCAAAGCTACACAGTTTCAATATTCCTTCAACCACTCCTCTACTCTCTTCCTCCAATGAAAAAGGTGGCCTATGAATTCACCTAACCTCTTAACAACAACAAAGGGATCCTTCTTCAAATCTTCGTACTTCAAGAATAGTATCTTTTCTGGGTTTTCTAAACTTGCTTTCCAGTACCCTAAAACATGGTTCCAATAGGGTCCGTAATGGGATACCCCTTGACAAAACAACTCAAACGCTTCCTCAAGCGACAAGAGTGGCAATTGTTTAGGCCTTAGGTTGTTCATGAATAGCCATTTGGAAACAAGCACATCTTTGGGGTCCCTGCAGATGTAAACCAACCTGCAACTTCGATCATCGGTCATGGAATTCGGTAACAAGCCGAAAGGGATATGGGTTGAGAGGAGACGTGGTGAAGGCAACACATCAAGTTCGTGTAAAGACTGATTGTTAAGTATATTGCAGTGGGCAAAGCTAGAAAACAAACAGAGTATCAGTGATATTTCATTTTGCATACCAAATACATCACCTGAGCTAGCTTCTTATAGCAAGTTCTTAACAACTTTAACAAACTAACAAATTCTAGAATAATTATCTAACAGCCTTGACACGTATACAATGCTATATTTATTAGATACAACCAATTCCCATGTAAATCATGCATAAACTACTGAATCATACGAACAACACCCTCAGCTGCCTCATATATCTCAACATTCTCCCCGCTTCTTCTTCCTCCCTTCTTTAACAAGACAATACACGTAGCTTCTCGTGAAACTGCTCAAACGCTGGTCTAGTCAGCGGCTTGGTAAGCCCATCAGCTACTTGAAACGCAGCAGGAACATAACTGACTCGAAGAGTACCAGCTGCAATCTTCTCTCGGATAAAATGCACATCCAATTCAACATGCTTGGATCGAGCATGGCACACAGGGTTTATACTCAAAGAAACAGCACTCGTGTTGTCACACCAAATCACAGGTACATCACACAATGACAACCCAAGATCACATAGTAGAGCAGCAAGCCAAGTGATTTCAGCAGCCGAATCAGCAACACTCCTGTATTCTGCTTCCATCGTTGAGCGAGATACAGTCTTCTGTTTCTTGGAATTCCAAGCAACCAAGCAACCTCCAAGAAAGACACAATATCCTGACATCGACCTACGATCACTGGCATCACCAGCCCAATCTGCGTCGGAAAAAGATTTAAGACACAACCTAGCATCACTGTCTGAAAACACTAGCCCATGATCTAATGATCCTGCTAAATAACGCAGGATTCGTTTAACTGCTACCAGATGTATTTCACGAGGAGACTGCATATAATGGGCTGCTTTATTAACAGCAAATGCTATGTCCGGTCGAGTATGGCAGACATACAAAAGTGCTCCCACAATGCTACGATATTCACGTGCATTCGCCAGTAAAGGACTGCTTTGATCATTAGTTTTTGTGGCAGCAGCCATCGGGGTGCACACATGCGTTGCTTGAGACATATTTGTTTTCTTCAACAGATCACAAATATAAGATTTCTGACTTAAAACAAGGCCAGACGCAATTCTTTTAACTTCAATCCCCAAGAAAAAAGACAGCTCACCAAGATCTTTAAGGGAAAAACAAGAGCTAAGCATACGAACAACTTGATTAACAGTTTCAGTTGACGTGCCCGTTATTAAAATGTCATCGACATACACTAGGGCATATGTATAGCAATCACCCTGAATCCTGACAAAGAGAGACACATCTGCCTTAGATTCAACAAACCCGAAATCCAACATGCTTGCTTTGAGTTTGTCATTCCAATTGCGTGGCGCTTGGCGTAGACCATAAAGAGCTTTTTTTAGCTTACATACCAATGGTGTACCATCTGAAGCACACTGCACAAACCCTGGTGGTTGCTGCATATACACATCCTCATGCAAGTCACCGTTTAAGAAAGCATTATTTATGTCAACATGTCTTAAGACCCAGCCTTGAGTAACAACCATGGTCAAAAGTACATACACTGTTGAGAA